ATTAGTTGTGTCCATGTAAACGTAGCTTATTACACACTGTAGCTTTAATGCTGAGGTTTTACCTGAATCCTACAAGTTTAGACCAACATTTGCATTTCAACTCAAAGAAATAGATAGGACAGATGGTTCAAAAGGGAGATGTAAGAAGCCAATTTTGTTGAAATGGAAAAGCCATCACTGAATAGAGTGAGAATATTGCAGATTCAGCTCCCAAGCAACTACAACTGGATCCTGGAATACATTCCATAAACACAAATACTAATTCAAATAGCCCATACGCAACAACCCAAGAGATCAACAATTAGGTATTTGTTTGCATATGGGTTGGAATCTGTGATAGCAGCTAGTCCCTGAAATTGGGGAGGCCCAATTCTGTTCATTAAATCCAAACCTAAAGCATCCAAACCTAACATATATAAAAAATGTTGAAACACATTACATATAGAGAAAATCAGCCCTTCTCTCCTTTTCCAGGACATGTTTTATGACTCTGACATACCAAGTAATTGCCTGCAATAAACAAACAAAACTTTAACAAGATGCAAACAGTGCAATAATGCTTGGACTTTGTAATTATTACAATGTGTCCAATCAAGGCCTTACTTTCTTGCTGATTACCTAAACAGATATTTTGCATTGAGCAGCTTCCTACTGCTACAGAGCAGAGGGGAGATTGCATCCCATGTCATACTCATCCAATGTCATGCTTTTGACATCAAGTGAATTTTAACACCCATTTAATGTAAAAAATTATCAACAATTATGAAGTTTACCAGTACAATACAAATTGTGAATACAAATTCAAAGGGGAGGTTTAGCCCCCTTAGTATTCAATTAGAAAATTGAAACTGGATTAGAACTCCAACTACAGCTTGCTGTAGTGCAAGCCGACAGAAAAAGCTCCTGGATTTTTATATATTTTTTAAAAACATATTTTTTAAAAAACAAGGCAACTGTTTTGTGGTTGTCTTGTGAGATCTTAATAAATAAAAGATTGAGATTCAAAATTGAAATAGCTCATGGGGGCAAACACACAACATCTTAAAGGAATAGTACACCCAAAACATGATTAGCCTTCATTTTCTACTCACCCCCATGCTGAACAACACTCTGGAGTACTTTTTTGAT